TTACTATAGTGCCTTACTAGTAGTAACTAAGAAGCTATTAGAAACAAGTGCCTTACTAGTATAGTAACAGTAACAAGTGCATCGCTTCTATTAACATGACATGCCTCCATTTGACCCCCACCCACGCCCGGAGACGCCCCGGTCTACCCATGTCTTCGTCTCGGCCGTCCAAAACGGATCGGTCCCAGTCGTGGCGGTGGTGTCGGCGAGGCGGTGACAACTTGCCCCCTCCACAAAGAGATGATGTTGATGATCAAACATCAGTTGGGGGATCAAACAGGTGGGGGGTTTTTAGGGTTTATAGGGACTGGTTTAGGGTTTAGCACGGAAGTTGGATGATCAAACAGCTGGAAGAAACTCCCAACTTCCCAAAGATCATCCACTGCGCCCTAACCCATCCAATCCGCGCGTCGACCCAAAGGGTCGACACCTTCGACCGCTAGCCCGAGTTCCACGCAGCAACGTCCTCCGGAATCTGGCTAGGCACCTGCGTGTGGCAGGGAGAGGCCCAATTGATGGGCAGTCCGACATGGCAGTCCCAGACGGGTCGTGTCTGGGTTTGGAGCTTAACCCTTTTCTAACCAAGTTCGATCTGTCAGACCGTGTACGGTTTTTCACGAGATTCGTGAGATTCGTGGAGTGCCCCCCCACTGCCCCCCCAAAAAAAGTGAAACAAAAGGGTGAAGAACTCAATGGTTCTCCACTTACTTCCTGGGTCTGGATGGGTGGCCCAAATTGCGGGACCGGACCGGACGACTGGGAGCTGCTATGTATATATATATATACCCCCAGGCCATCGGGGTGTCCGCTCTGAAACGAGGTGATTCGGGAGGTCACCACCCCTGGCACCGGGGGGCCCTGGTAGTGACCGTGTGGCAGATGGCCGTGTCTTGAAACCCTAGGGCTCCTGGCCCACCTCCTGAGGTGACCAGTGGGTTCGGTGGGCCAGGGGTGGGTGCCAGAGGGGTCTAACCATCGAACTTGAGGAGATGGGCCAGGAGCCCCTCCCAGTTCGACCCCCTTTGGTTCAAGGAACGACCAGTACCAGCCATGGAACGACCAGGACCCTCCCGTTTGGGGTGTCGTGTCTATTTTTTAGCCCCCAACAGCTGTGTCAGGGGTGTCCATGAACCACCCCGACTGGGGGTCCTGGTAGGGTGCCTCCCAATGAAACATTCACGCAATTCACGCCCATAAAGTGATCTTCCCACCCGCCAAGGTCCACCCTTCAACCCCCAACCCCCAGAAACTCCAAGAAACTCCTTGGAAGATCACGTCCATGGACCACTGAAACCACCCCCAAGGGCCATGGTTAATAAGCAAAATCAGGGCCCCCGGGCCATCGGGGTGTCCAATGGACTAGCTCTTTAGAGGTGATTCGGGAGGTCCATTCACCACCCCTGGCACCGGGGGGCCCTGGAAGATGACCGCTCGTGTCTGAAAATCATCGCAGTTGTTGTTCCCCGGCCTCTTGAGTCGCCACCTGGCCAAGGCTGCACGCCGTGAGCCAACCCCCAGGGCTCCAGTCGTACCTACTCAGAAGGTATGACTGGACCCTCTCACCTTCTCAGAAGGTACTTGAAGGCCTTTAGGGAAAGGACCTGGGATTACCATGAGATCATCAAATTCGCAAAAAGAAGTCATACAGCTTGGAACGTCGAACAACACTCAACACCTTCCCGGCCCCCAGTTTCGGGGTGTAAAATTATAGCCCTTTAGAGGTTAAGGGATGTCCATTAACCACCCCTATCCGGGGGGCCCTGATACATAGTATGTGCCAAGGGATGTAAATAGCTTCTTAGACTCTTATCGGGTAAAGGGATGTCCAAAAACATATATGCCAACCACCCAACTGACCCGGTCTGGGCGTTTGTCGGCGGGGAGCTTCCTGCCAGTCCCAAGCTATGTCGTGTCTGGAATCTAAAGACGCTTCCCTAGCCAATGGTATGACTGGACCCCCCTGTCACCCAGCCCAGTCGTACCGAACCTGAGGTTCCGTACGACAGCACGAGCCCTTCTGGGAGCAACTGGGGCAGCATTGAAGACTCCCCTGGAAGGCCCTGAAGACTTCGACCAGTCCACCAAGGCCCCCCGGTGCCAGGGGTGGTGAATGGACATCCCGAATCACCTCTGAGCTAGTCCATTGGACACCCCGATGGCCCGGGCCCTGGGACGGTGTTTCCCAAACACTCCATGGGACTGCCATATATGCCGATCAATTGACCTCCAAAACCATCCCAATTGATCGGCATATATGGCAGTCCCATGGAGTGTCTGGGACATGGCCATAGCCAGGTGGGCCTTGGAAAACGTCGACCCTCCGAGCCCCGCAGCTTGGGCATCCGAGCCAGATAGGCCAAAGCGACCACGAAAAGGCCCAGTCCCAGCCAACGGAGGGACTCGGAGGCGGGACGTGGGGGTTCGATGGCCGGACTTCCAAAGGGGTGGTCTATAGACCAATGGAGGGTTCCACTACTAAACCCAACAAGCGGATCAGGATGCAGAAAGGACAATCAGGAGATTAGAAGGTGAGACATGGTCAAACTGACATGTCGTAGAACTGGCGCTGCGTGACAAACAATGAAGTCCAACTGTCATACCGAGCCCGATGACGCCAGAAAATCCCATAGCTGAGGACTTTGACATGTTCTTGCTGCTCGAATGGCCTAGGGATGCCATTGGGGCCTATGGGTGAGACGGTCTAAGTCCTAAGAGTCCTAGGGCCATGGTGATGAGGCAGTGGAGGAACTGCGCTGTAGGAAGAAAGGTGGCGAAATGATTCGCTATATAATATATCTCTTTCAGTTTGTGGTCCAGGATCTGGCAAAACATAAAACCATCCTAAAGCATACTCCCCGGAAGCGGGTTCACCCACATGGAAAACAAGAATCACTATCACCTTAATCAAAGCCAATGTCCCCAACACATTTTAGCTGCCTTAGCTCAGTGAAGCCCGACTTGTTTGAGACCTCCAGCCTACCAACCGCCACTCCAAGCCATGGCATTCTGTTGTTTTTCATGCCAAACCTGGCATCATCTTCAGCTCGCGCCCTTTGGCTCGTGGAAAAACTCAGCTCAAGAAGCACGAGTTATATATCTCTCGTTCGACGTGTGAAAACACGGCAAAATCTCCGATATCCAGAAGGTTCTGCGACTTCAGCATGTCCTCAAGCCTCAAGACCCTGCCTCCTTTGAGCAATTCATTCCTTGGAAGAAGTAGCAGCGATGCATTCCAGACTGCGAGATAGTCGGGGAGGAAACACATTTGTTCCCTACAGGTTCAGTCTGACTTAGTAAAACCTGGTCCTGAACACCTCATTTACAGGTGTTCTATGTATTGATCAACTCCAGTAAAATGAGGTCTTTGGTTCATTGCACCACAGGTTACAGTATTTAAAAAAACAACAAGAAACACACATGTCCATACCTTCCAGAACTCCCTGAGCCTTCTCAGGGAAAGAAAAACGGGGAAAATGAATCCAATGCATCCGGTGAATCTTCCCAAGTGAAAAAGGGCGATCTGAGCATCTTCACCAGATTTGGACCCACACTCGTGACTGGAAGTGGAAGTTCAGGAAAAAACAAGGAATCCGGACACCAGATTCTTCCTCAAATGGTCTTTGTTCCACTGCCATGCACACCATCTAAAGGCTGCACACTATCTGCACATTGGCTGCACACTATCTGCACATTGCAGAAGTGTTGTGTTCTCAAACCCATCGCTGGGGAGTGTTGCTGGGCTCTCCTTAGAGCCATGGTGTCGATGGAGTGGTTGGACTGGACACCTGTGGTGTCAAAGAAGAATACCACGGTCAAGACCGGCCCCCAAGGAAACGGTTTTCCACTTCTGGACGAATACATCACATCCTAACATGTGAATATTATGTATTATATTACCTACATTGACATACATTGACCCATTTATACCTCTTTGCAACCATCCCAATGTTGGTAAATATGACATGCATGGAGAACATAGACATAGATGGATGACATACTAGTATAGATGATCGTGATCCCGAAAGGAGAATGACCTTCCTTCACAAACAGGGGTACGTACCATCCACTTCCATGTGATATTTTCCTCGGAGCGTAACTCCGGCTGAAGCCATCCAGGTGATGAAGGTGGGTTGTCCCGGCGGCCCCTTCAAACCAATCCAACAAATATCCCAAACCTTCCGTTGGATGCACATCTATGTCCGGTGCATGTGGGGGTGGGAAACCACGTTGCATAAGAATAGCTGAGTGCCACCACACACCCTAATCAGCCTCTTGCCTCAGTCTTCTAGATTGTGGTGGTGAACATCAGGAGGATTTGCGGTGAGTTTCTGACATCAGAGCTGGTTCACCTGATGTTTATTGCAACCAGCTGTTCTTCTCCACAGCTCTGATTAATACCAGCTGTGATTCAATGCAAACTTCAAACTTCGCTCCCATAGACTCAGCTCTTTACATTAGACTCCGCTGCTCAGCTGCCTCCCACATCTTCAACATCCAACCACTCCCATCGCTTCATCTCTGATCAAATACAGCTTCTCAGCTTCGAGCCAGCTCCAGCGGGTTGTCCTTGGAATGAGGATGGTCTGTTTGATCCTGCGCCATCTTGAAGTGGCCCATGTCGACCGTCACCCGTAGCATCCCATAGCCAAATGGCTCTGTCACAAGTCGGCGCCGTGAATATCTTTCAGCTATATAAATGACGCACTTAGTGGGCCGGGCTCCCTCTCTCTCTCTATCTGTGTGTCTCTCTCTATCCCTCTCCCTCCCTCTCTGCAAACCAGCTTGTCTCAGCAGGCACAAGCAAATTGCTTGCCTTTTTGGAATGTTGATGATTTTTCCTGTCCGAGCAAAGTTGATCTTTGACCTATATCACCCCGGGATTCCAATGGCCATTGATTTATATAATGGCCTATATATCCCGAACATCCCGAACAGCCGTTGTTGTACCAAGGAATTCTGCAAATCTTGACATGGTCTATAGTTTTGTTATGTGCTGATGTTACGAGGAGCTGGAGTCCTTGCCTCGCAAGGCTCGAGAAGCTGTGCGGTGACTCGGGCGGCGTCGCCAGAGACCCAAAGTGGGACGTCTCCCAAGCCCTAGGGAGTACCTTCTCAGAAGGTACTTAGTGCCTCCAAACCTACATAACAGTGTCTCCAAACACCGTACCTGAGAAGGTACGGCTGGATCCCTAGGGATGTCTGATGGCGGGCGGCGTGGAAGCCGTCCACTCGGCGGCGGCCCTCCGGGCAATCCCCATGATTCCTCGGCACCGTTGCGCCGGTGGCGCGTGGGCGCTGGGCCGCCACTTCAGCATCTCTCGGGAAACATCAAGAGCTTTGGCCACAAAGGGCTATACCAAAAACATGCCCAAACCGAGTCTGACGGTCTGACTGAGTTGGTCTTACATGCTATTCTTACGAGCAAATTTGCAAAGGGCACTAGGCCTCGCTAAGTGGCCATTGATGACCTCATTCTACTGGAGTTGGTCAAGTCAATGAGGTAAAGGAACAGGTTTTGCTGGGCCTTTGGACCTGCAAGGTCTACAATGTTCCAAACAATTAGGCCAATAATTTAAAGCTGACTGTATAGGTTAATTAAGCTTAGACACACTGACCGGCTAGGACCTGGACACCTCGGGGGTGCAAAATCGAAAAGGCCTGGGGATCCACAGAAACACGGCACACACGACCAAATCAAACAAAGACATTGACTCCCCCGGTTTTTGGTTGACATCTGATTCACGGAGTGTGGACCTCATGTTCTCCAACCGCGGGAGACCACCCAGCGGCGTGGTTTTCGCGTGTTCTCCGCCGTTCGGAAAGCTTCGAGGGAAGCGTTAGCAAACCTATATAATCCATAGAATTCCAAAGGATTCATGGGACAGCAGTCCTATATATGGCCTACGATTTTGGGTGGTTTTCATGTTGGTCACAGCCGTCCCATGGATCGCCTGGGCGGACTGGGAAGTTTTTGCCTAGGGTGATTTTAATGAAAGGTAGAAACAAAAAGCTACTAGGTGAGGTTGGAGGCCATTACTACTAGCAAGAAGTCCATTTTCCATACATGGATGGTCTGGCCAGGAAAAAACATGAAACTCATACATTGAGGAACATCCAAGCGCTGGCAACCCTCAAAACCCTTCGCACGTCTAGAAAGCATCCTTGCTTTCCAAGCAGCCCCTCGAAATGCCAACCTGGCCCTACCAGCCAAGCTTGGACTTCATGTTGCTGAAGAGCCCCGGCTTCCCTCCCGCAGCATTGGCATCCGCCGCGGCATCTGCCGCTCTGCGCTTCGCCACAAGGTGTTTGAAGCTTTCCTGTTCCTGCGATGTTCCGGCCGTGAAACGCCATCAAACATGAGTAAGCTATATATAATATATATATATATATCCATTGGGCACCCCTACCCCACACTACCTATAGTATCTATAGGCTTCCATTGGGCACCCCTTAGAGGGTCCTGGTATATATATTATATTGTTTAATTATATATGGTGAACTGGTGCTGTAGTCCAAACATCCCGTCGTCAAACAGTAAAGAGTAAAGACCATCAAATTGGTTGAGCTGGTTTTGTCTAAAAAGTCTGCCACAGGATCGAGTCAATATCCAGTGCAATTCAGTTCTTCGGGACATACAGTGCCAAACCTCGAAACCGGAGTCTCTGATTCAAAGCCTGGCAACCACAACGGGTCGTTGACCAAAAAATGGCCTTCCAGTCTGGCCCATGCCATCAGGTTCCATGTGGACCATCCTGTCTGGACATCAATCAGTAGTAATTAGGGTAGTCCATTAGGGTAGTCCATAGGAAGGTCCAGTCCATAGGAAGGTCCATAGGAGTACCCTAGGACTTCCCATTTGCACTACCATCCATTAGGGTAGTCCATTAGGGTAGTCATGCAAATGGGATGGTCCTGGAAGATGTTGCATTTGGAGAGTTGACCGTCCACACCGCTGGGCAGCCGTCCTGCTCAATGAAGTGCCGAGCGGTGTCCAAATAGGCCAAGTAGTCCTCCCGCAAAGCAATCACGTCCCAACCTGGTCCACTCTGACCCAGGTCTCAACCTGGTCCTGAACACATCATGAGTCGTGAACACGTGTATGATCAACTCCAGTCTTGCGAGGTCCGTTCCTGACCTGTAGGGTAGTCCAAATACTGAAACCAAACAAACCACCGGCCTTCTCAGATGCAAAACGACCCTCCAATGCCCCACGACTAAAAAAAACACATCCTTCCCCATCCAGCTCAGGTGGAGTCGCCACTCTGAACACCTCGCTTTTCTCCGCGGCACCGCCGCGCACCGTGGTTCCCAGCACGGCGGTTCCTGGTGCGTCCGCCCGTTGGGTGAGCCAGGGTGGGGCTCATCCTCACCTCGGCCGCGGCCGCTGAAGCGCGATTCGCAACGCGGAGCGAAGAAGCCTCTCAGCCTATCCTTGGAATTCGCTGCAGCAAGGGCCAAATACTGTACACTCCGACTCACTAACATGGAAGTGGAAAACACCCTGTTTGTAAAGGAAAGTAGTCTTCCAAGAGGCCATTTTCCACTTCCATGGTAGTGAGTCAAAGGGTAACTCATATGTCGCAGGATAGGGGATTCATTCAGGCAACAGGAACATCACACATCACCTGATCAGCCAAACCAGTGGTTTTTTTTTCGGAGGTGCGGGGGGTGCATCGAGTTCCACAGAACGGAGTTCCTACGAACGAAACCACTCAGAGAAGGGGGGGGACGAACATCGACGATCTCCAGCACCAGGCAAGCCATTTCAGGTCCACCGGCTCTGTGCATCCCAGGGACGACTAATGGGACTGCCGAGAAACGGACTGCCGAGAAACGGCCAGGGGTGGTGGTGCCAGGGGGGTCTGGCTTGATCGGCATGGAGTCCAGTCTCTGGGCAGGTCCGGCTCCATCGACCCCTGGGACTTCCCTGTCCAGAGGTAGCCAGTGACCTCGGACCCGGAAAACCAGGGGTACCGAACTGGGAGACGTCGGTCCGTTCGGGTCCATCAACCTCGGTCCGAAACGGCCATGTGTTCGCCCAGGTGTGGCAGGTGAAGCCGTGGAAAACGACATGTGGAAGACACGTCGTTAAAGGCATTGGTGGTCCGTGGTCCGTTTTTGTTGGTGGAGTCCCTATGGATCCACTGCCAACGTACCTCAGGTTAGGTAAGACTGGACCCTCCAAGAATACGTCTCCAATCACCGTACCTCAGAAGGTATATGGATCCATAGGGGATGATATCCCTTAAGGTTTCTGCATTGGACACCATTTCAGTGAAACGACGAAGAAGAACTGATCTGCTGCTCGGCTGCTGTACTCCGTCTCTGAAGAGAAGGAGTTGCGGAAAGGTAGGAGCTCTAAGGCAAACTGTTGTGTCCTTAGCCCGAGGGCCTTCCGAAAGGCCTCACGACCCTGCTGCAGTCAAGGTTTTGCAAAACAAAAGCCAGTCACAAAAGGGTGCCAGACTTGGAGGAAGTCGGGGTGCCCCTGTCACATCCACTCACTGGATGGGACCAAAAGCCTACCCCGATATGTGACTGCTGGAGCTTTCCTCTCGATCATCAGTGCCCCAAACCCTTCATGGTGGAGCCTAATATGGCCTACATTCACCACCCCCAATTGCCAAACCACCCAAATGGTAGACACTCCATGGGACTGCCATAATATGCCTACCATGTAGGCAGTCCATGGCAGTCCCATTCGTCACGCCTCTCGACCCAAACAGCCTCACAGGGCCAGGCCGTGCCCGGTGAGCAGTCGAGACCGCCCAAAGACTCCATGCACTGCCAGACCTGGAGTCAACCTGTTTGTACACCAGAAAATGGGCAGTAACCGGGTAGCACCTCTTGTCTATGTAGGGTACAATGTCCCATTTTCTATGGCACGAACTGGACTGTGTCCAGACCTGTCTTTCATCAAGTCCAGTCCCGTGAAGCTGGGCTGGTCCGGTCGAACGTTGGTGATGATAAGTCGCTTCCCTACCCGTTTGGCCTCCAGTCGTACCTTCTGAGAAGGTGTTTGGGATGGGTGCCAGGAGGGTCCAAATACCTTCTGAGGAGGTACTTGGAGGTGTAGGGCTAGGGCTCCTGGCCACCTCAACCTCCTTTTCAGTGAAGGTGGGACTGGGGTGGGTGCCAAAGGCCTTCTGTGCCGCACCTGAGGAGATGGGCCAGGAGCCCAAACGGGAGTCTTTCAAGATAGAATCAGGGTCCGGAAAGGGTTGGGTTTTTTGGTTTGTGTCCAGGCCAAAGCGTTTCGAGGTCGAAGGACTCCTTCGGGCACCTTGACGGCATGAGTTTGACCTCATCTGGAGATGATCATACCAAACTATGCCAAAACCATCCACAAGCATACCTCCCAAAAACCAACTCAGCTTGAGGTTCCTCACCCAGCTAACCAGTGCCTGCAAAGAACAAGCACCCGTGGGACTACCCGCGGGGTCTGAAGCTGAACCTATATAATATATATATAGTATTATATATATAACCGGAACCAACCATATCCTCAGGTTCGGTGGTTAGACCCCTCTGGCACCCACCCCAACCATATCCTCACCTCAGGTGGGCCAGGAGCTCAAACGGGAACATTTAGAAAACAAAAACGAAGGTGTTCAGGACTGGTCGTTAGACTTGTCGGGAATGGTTCGTTCGACTGAAACATCTTGAAACCCATTTGTTGGCCATGGCCAGTTCTCAAGCATGGTTGGCCCCCCAAAAGCTCAAGCCGGGCCCTCAAGCCGGGCCCTCTCTGCCCCTCTCCCACCGAAACCCAAGCCAATTAATGCTTGTTAGGAATCCAAAGGCCGTCCCCCTGAGGGAAGCTCACTTCCTTGGTCTAAAAAGCGGAACGTTTTCGTGGTGCACGTTCCGCTCGGAACGGCATGGTGTAAAACCGATCTGTCAAAACCATATTTAAAACCTATACACGCCAAGATGCGATTGCAAATTGACGTATTTCCATGAGATCACCTGGATTCTCTAAATGATCTACCTCGGACACGTATGGGTCCCTGTTTAACCCTGGGCATATCGGGCATGTCCCATCCCGAATCCGGGTCAACCGTCCCAGGTCTTCGTCCTTCGACCGGGGCGGGTGACACATGGCCATGGCTCGTGCCGGTGAAGTCATTGGATTTGCGGCTTCGGAAGCTTGAAAACAACTAGAACACATTCACCACATTCAGAGGATTTAACATGATTTAACTATTTAACCATAGGGAACATAACAAATCTCCTGAGAAGGTGGGGTGGGTGCGGAGGACGAATACCACCGAACCTGAGGAGATGGGCCAGGAGCCCAAGACCGGATGAAATCATGGAGTGGCATTGACCGGTACCGGAGCAATGGTCTGACCGGTCGAACTCGAGGTCATCCACGTAGCCACCAACAGAGGTTAAGTGACCTGAACTAGGACCCGTCATCAGGGGTACCGAACTGGGATAGTCTATAGGGTTCTTCAACCTCTGTTGGATCCACGTACCCAATTTGATGATTTCGTGTAAGAATCAGCTCAAATGCTCCAGCTTCACCCCAAAGAAAGCTCACCACATGGTACAACATGGAACAAGCCTCCCGGAAGAACATAGAAGCCCTGGAAGTAGGATAGGTCTCTGGAAGAACATGATCTTGAAACCCCAGTTCCACATGCAAACACAATCAAAAATCACCAAATTCCGACTGTCGGCGGACTCTCATCGAAGCAAAAACAGTTCATTAAACAGCTGCTATAACCCAGACACTCCATGGGACTGCCATCTATGCCGATCAAGCCAGACCCCCCTGGCACCACCTCTGGCCGTTTCTCGGCATATCTACGGCAGTCCCAGGTTCGGGGTCGTGTCCGGGTCATGGTACTCTTCGGACCCCAGACCCGTGACGTTCCACCCTCCAAATCGGAGCCCAACACCTTGGACGGCCTTGGGGCAGCTGGTTTCTCCGTCACCTCTCGGATCCTCTTCCCGATGGAGGACCTTCGCCCAGCCGCTTCATCCAGTGACTCCACCAGCGGCTGCAAGCTGGATTTCACCTCCGCGATTTGACTGCTGCCCATGAGTGGCAGCTCTGGCTTCTGTGGCACCTCCACATGGAGACCGATCATGGCAGTCTCAGGTCCGTGAGTCTTGCAGCTCTGGCGCAGTCTGACGTCTCAGGTCTGGAGCCGCGAGGCGGTGGTCGGAGCCCAAACCCAAGCGCTTAAACACTCCATGAAACTGCCATATATGCCTATCAGTTGGAGTGGTGCCAGAGGGGTCTGGCTTGATCGGCTATGCCATACATGCTGGGTCACGTACCAGCAACCTACCGACTCTACGAGGTCTCCTTTGGAGGGTTGTTCGGCCACAAGCGCCCGGCCAACCATTGGTGAGGCAGGGAGGGTGCTGGTATGCAAGTGCGGCCGACCATTCCCTAAAACCTCCTGGCCATTCCTGGCCCATATCCTCAGGTTCGGTGGTTAGACCTCCAAAGCCCACCCGAAACCATATCCTCACCTCAGGTGGGCCAGGAGCCAAAACGGGATTTGGATCCATTTGGTGCTTTTGGGGTGGATCCACATGGTCGGCGGAGCGGGGGAAGCCTCCAAGAAGCAACGGTCGACCTCGGAGCAGCGAAAGATCAAGGATGGATGATAACAGAGTTTACCCAGTCGAGACTCTTTCTGAAGACCCCAAGAGAAACAATGTTTTTCCTTTGAATGAACCCGCTTGTTATGTCTTAATGGATGTTGATGGCCCATTTGGATGTGGATCCAAAAGGTCAACGAAAATCTATTGTGACAGTCAGGCCTGACACTTCTCCTTTTGCCCGATCTTTGGGCTCCTACATCCAAACCGTGTCTTGATACTACCCCTTCCTCACTTCTGTGCCCAACGTCAAGAAACAAACACCATCAAACACCCCATGCTGGGGCGCCCGGACGAAGCAGGAACTCCTGTGACGAGTTACTTCTTGCAAGATGCAGTGAACACAAGGCCGAGGCACTTTGCAGGCAGAACCCACAGAAACAAAATATAACAAAGATAAACCATCTTGAACAATCTGCAAATCGTCTATACCTATAGGGACCACCAACCCAGCTACAAAATCCTACAAACCTGATCCTTTTCAGATCAAGAAAGGAGGTCATCTCTGAATGGAACCATTTCCATCATCCTAGCCGGTAGACTTGCTGCATGGAGTTTCCTTTTCTGTTTTCTTTCCTCTCTCCGGTCGTGTCTTCATTTTGCTTCGGTGTTGGGGTTGTTTGGGCGAGCCAAAGGGAAGCGAAGGGTGTGTGCCCGAAGAATTGAACAAGTTGGTTGTGAGTATACCAGACCATCCATGTACGGAGTATTTACCGATGTTACATTGACCGATAAAACATCTTTTGCCACCACACAGTGATTGGCAAATATTTCAGTCCCATGGATTGTTGGGGAATAGAAAAAAATCTAGTTTGCTTTCGCGTTTTGAACAAACAAGGTTAATTTTTTGTCCAACTCTTCGTTTTGAACGGGGGCACCCATCCCCCAACAAAATTAAAGGATGTCCACCTTTCCTGGCTAGGCACGTCTATCATTTGCAAACGGGAAGGGTGATCGGACGACATGGAACTTCCACATCAAACGAGTCTACCACAAACCCTATAGGCCGACAGCTTCTCCCAAAAGGGGATTAATCAACAGTCAACACACCCAACTGTATAATATGTGTTCATCACTATAAATTTGGAATATGCAAAACCAGGAGCAGCTCACCAATCAATCTGACATGACATGCTTCACCTTCTAGGAATCCACCTGCCTTCGAAGCTACCACGGGACCCCGCCCGCGGTCTGCAGGTTTTGCCCCGGGGGTCTACAACAAAGTGTCGAACACATCACCCTCAAAAAGATTACGCCACCGTCGACCCGAAACAGTTTGTGTTTTTGACTATCGAAACACTCTGCAACTAGAGATTGCGGCGAGACAAAGGAATAAGGCCAAGCAATGGTCGAAAACCAAGGAAAGGATAGCAAGGAGCCAAGAAATATGCCTTGATTTCGTAATTATTCTGGCATTCTGGTCATGGAATGATTATCCAAACAAGCTCAAGCCACGAAATGTCGCAAAGCTGAGCAAACTTAACATCTCTACTCCATCTCAAGCAACGAATCCACTGCCAAAGCTTTTCCAGGTAGATGGAATCATCAAGTGAGTCACCCGACGGCGCAAGAGCGGGTAAGCAAGAATGTCAACACTCGCAAGTCGTCAGAACACAACGTTCCAACTTCTTTGGAAGGAGAGCCCTTCTTATTTTGGACAAAGATTAAAGCACACCTAGTGTGAAACTCTGCAAGTTTAGTGCAATAAATAAAGAAACAAGACCACCAGGAAAGAAATTTACAGTATATATATATATACAGAAATGTCTACAGGGGAACCTAACAAAAACGTCCTTGATATACATGTCTAGACCTCTCCTGAACAAAACCAATTAGCAGGATAGGGATTTTACCACATAACACACAAAGCTCCATAGACTGCATAGCTCCTGGACCGCAGAAGGAACCAAATGAAGACAAACAAACACACTTCTTGGGGCCCAAGGGGCTTGGCTCAAGGAGCCGAGATGTCTTTTCTGTCCGATGGATTCAACAGGATTCAACCTAAAGGAACATTCAAACAAAAGGAACCAAAAGGAACAACCAATAGGGGATTCAACCTTAAGATACCTGGAGAGCAAAACCGGGAGAGCCTTCCTTCCTTAGACCCTCACGTCCTCTCCCTTCACCGGTCTCGCCTCTGGGTGGTCTCTGGAACCGCTTCGGGCGCTTGTCGGGTCACCTGGCGCGGGCACAGCCAGCCACAGCCGGAACAACCGTGTGGAGTGAAGCGGAAGCATCCAACTACAAGCCTAGGCTTCCTGGCCCACCATTAATTTAATAGGCTTTACCGAATCAACTAAGGATTTTACACTACAAACACCAGGTCGTTCCCATTTTTTTAATAGTCTTGGAAGTCTAGGGACAAGCTCCTTTTGGGACACGCAACTGGACACGCAACAAGACCCAGCACCATGGAGTGATCATTTGGAGGGAAACATGCATACACTCCAACGAACACAGAAAACATGGTTAAGTGGATGGCACCCACTCTTTGTAGAGGAAAGTAGTCTTCCAAGGGGCCATGCCATCCACTTCCATGTGATGTGTTTGTCAGAGCGTAATTGTTTCTACAAGCCGCCCAAACCTCCGTGCTGGCCATGGTCGTCTTTGCTAGCCAGACCACTGATCCACCAGCCTTGCATCCTTGTCGGGCAAGTCGCGGAAAAGCGTATATTATGTTATATGTAAATATCCCTAGGGATCCACATACCTTCTCAGAAGATACTTGGGCCCTCCTGGCGCCTACATACATAGTCTCCAACATCACCGTACCTGAGGAACGGTACGACTGGATCCGGTATATGATGACCTCTTCGATGTTGCCAGTCTGAGATTTCTAGGGATCCATGTCATCTCGTTTGGGCCGGTGGTTTGGGCCGTCCCAGCCATATTTTGGTGTCTCCAATCCCCAGCCATCAGCCTTGTCAAAGGATATGGATCTATATACGGGATGGGCACCGCATGTGTCCACCTGGGGTGATGGCAAAGCAACAATGTATGTCGTACTCCGTAGACCCCAAAATGGTGAGAGCAATGAGCTATGTGCAAGGGTAAGCTCATCTTCTTGCAATTTCCAGAAGCGAGAGTCAAAAGACACTCTGAAACTTTCCAAGTCAATGTTTAGATGCATGCAGGACCACCTTCCTCGCAATATCAGTGTCACATCCTTGAACACATGGCCAAGACAAATCATTCAGCAATAGAGTGACGCAGAAAAGGCATGTCATGAGCACGATAACGATGTTCAACACATGCTTCAAGATTCATGTCTGTCAATGTGTCTGTATGTGTTTTTGAGTTCAGTCTCCATATAGGGCTCCAAATGCCTGCTCACAAGGGTCTGTAACGACCCTCCTGGCAAACACGCCAAACACCTTCTCAATAGGTGTTACTAGGCATTTGGAGCCCCAGCGTCTTACTGCTGAGGGTGGTATTGGTCTCTTTTGCACGTTGCAAGGGTACCAGAACAAACCATGGCTCGATCATACGAAGTGGACCTGCATTTCCAAATCGGACTGGAAAGGCGAAACGACAGCAAAGACTTTAGCGAAGTTACTCTACAGTACAACACAAACAACAAAAACATACAGAAACGCTTGATGATTCTACTTGCCCCCACAGCTTTGCCGGAGACTCACGGTCAATGAGTCAAAGGTTGTCTTCTGATTCAAGCAAAAGCCGTACAACTTCGGGACGACTCTATGGACCCTAGCCGTCCCCCCAGAAGACTCTCCTGAACCATGGCCAAATGCTAGCACGTCCGGGTTCTAGGCTGATCTTGTCATTCCAAAGGCGCGCCTTCGCAAGAACACGCCAGGTCCCCGCTTCCACCCAAACCCTCACACTGCCTTCACAAACAAAACACAAACAGCCTCAGCCGACTTCTGAGGCAAAGATTCGTGAATAATCCAGGCGCCAGCCCATGCTTTCTTGTTCTTGTTATATAGTGGGGTCCTTCCAAGTCCCCCCAGCAAGGAGCTTGGATGAAGAAATTGAAAGATCCACTGAAATCATTTGGATAGGAGTGTCCACATAGGCCATAGGTGACCCAGGTCAACCATAGGGTGACCCTGGTTGACCACATAGGTTAACCACCCTGGTCAACCAGGGTGTCCCCCTGCCATGACCATATCCAAATCAAGTCCTCAATATGGGCACACCAGGGGCAAAACACGGGTACCAGGGTCATCCTGTCTGGGTGTCCTGGCGTTCGACTACCCTACCCTACGTAAACAGCTCTCCTACTCCAGGGCACCCGGACAGGAAGTGCTAGGTATGAACTGTGGAGGGTCATGCCTGGCATGACTGGTGTACTGGATTCAAGCCTGGGCCGAACCCCCCAACGGACGTCCAGCGCGAGCGCCCGGTCGCCACGCTCAGCGACCGCCTGGCGCTTCAGCTCGATGACCTCTTGCCGGAGCTTCGCGCCTGGGCGGGGAGGGTGGAGAAAGGAGCGAGGAGTTTAGATAGACAGAGATTACAAGAAATAGATAGATAGATATATAGATGGATTGGATTGGATTGGATTAGATACGCTAGATAAGCAAATAGATAGATAGATAGATAGATAGAGATAGATAGAGATAGATAGAGATAGATAGATAGAGATAGATAGAGATAGATAGATAGATAGATAGATAGATAGATAGATAGGTGAATAATGATAGATATTGCTTGGACAATTTCGATTGACATGTGGCCATGAGGCCCAGGATGGTGC